GGTACAGGCAAACACACAGGGCGTTAACAATAATTGTTTTTCATCTTCTTCTCATCTCTCTTGACTCTTGATATTGTTTCTACTTACAAACTCATTTCCTAAGAATGCACCAAACTGACTAGTGCGGCAGACAATACCGACACATTAGGGGGATCAGGTATCGCCGTGATCAGCCAGTGGACACTCAAACTCAGTTTGTCAGTGTTATTAAATTAACTGTTTTTGTTTCCAGTTCATTCAGCCGCCAGCAGGCCAGCGTCAAGTTTCTTCAGAGCCCTGCGCCACATCTATTATCTGGAACTTACCTCACCATAGAGTGACCGGAATACAGATTTTTCAATTTGACGGGACAAACAACACTGATATCTGTTCTGCATCCAGGCAGAGAAAACACTCTTTAATAGTTATATTTTGCTCAAACCCAGCTTGACTACAGGGCACAGGAAGGGGTCTGGGAGGCACCCTGCAGGTCTGGCTTTGCCTCTCTGGATGAAGTGCCGGGTGCAGGCCCTCAACAGCTACTGTTATGTACAGAAACACCCGCTCCCACTCCAAAATCTAGTTTTAAGACCTTCATTGTTTTAGTTTTTGTTGCATTTTCCCAAACTGATGTGTTTGATTAAATTACCACACAGTAAATTTGGGGCAAGGAAATCTTTCATCAAGTATAGAAATGACATAGACAGTGGGAGGATAGCAGGGTTAAGGGGGCTCATTTCCCCCCCCCCCCAGCAGGATAATCTCGCCATGGTCCTCACCTGTGTGCTGTGTCTTTTCCTCTGCAGAGTTTGGGGAACTCTCAGCGTGAGTATGAAAAGCATGTGCTGCTGTACAGCATCCGCAACCAGCTGCGATTCCGCAATAACCTAGGTGAGCAATGTTTGTTCCTCACACCAGTGCTAAACATACACCTTGTACTGTGAAACGCATCAAGATTTGGTGCGAGATTAAAAGACAAAGGCCGAACAAATCCTCTTGAATTTTATAGCTCAACAATCAGAGAATGTGTGTAAGTTTCTGGACTGGCCAAAAATACCCTCAGTTTCCGGTTTATTGGGTACATTTAACTAAAAGGAATTCAATCTAATACAACAGCCCTGCAATAAATCCTGCTGCCAGGATGGTCGGATGAATCTCATTATTTTCACTGCGTTGGCTTTAGCTAGGTGTATCTAAAAAGTGGCAGCTTAGTGTAAACTACAACTGCACCAGGGCTGGTCAGCGTGCAGACAAACATATTGTATCACAGCTACATTCCTGGAGTCACAGTAATACTTGATTTGTAAGTAAGATTGAGTGATATCGACTCTATTCCTAAGCAGGCTTGTCTTCAATAAACAGGAATGTGATTGTACTACCAGTTAAGTAATATGTATAATAGTCTTGAAATAGCTCTGTAATAACACACACTTAATGTAATCAATTGTATTACTTCCCTTGTGACCTTGTTGAGCTGGTCAATACTCTCAATTTACCCTGGATTGATGTATACTGGTATAGATTTAGAATCGGTTACTGTATGAACACTCACCCCTGGCTGTGAGCTGACTGCTGTGTGTGTGTTTTTTTTATTTTTTATGAGCAGTGCGCCACGTGAGGAAGGATGAGCGCAAGTATTATGAGGAGCTCCTGAAGTACAGCCGGGAACACCTGATGCTGTACCCCTACCATCTGTCTGACATCATGGTGAAAGGCCTGCGAGTCACTCCTTTCTCATATTACATAGGAATCATGGAGGTGAGCAACTACTGCTGCATTGCACAACACAATAGGCGGGATGGTTGTTTGATGTTTTCTTTTATCAATAGTCTCGGTAAGCAGCTTCTGAATACCTATCTGAAAAGCTCTGGCTGATTCACTAGCGTTCCTTCCCATCTGAAAACCCAAGACAATAACGTGGTGATTTCATAATTTCATCTGCATCTCAACAATGAGCTGGATAAACTCAAAGGCACAGAGCGGGGAGCCTTATTGTGCTGCAGCAAAGATTCCCTAATTGGTTTGGAAACATCCAGTTGCTCTTAATTTAAATTGAACAATGTCTTCAATTTTAGCATCCCTGGAAACCGGTGCAGAAATGGCAGTTCCCAACTAAACAGGAAATCCAAGAGAACACTTTAGAATAAGAAGGATCCAAGCTTTTTACAACTCTCTGCCTACTCCCTGCTGTCGTGTTTCATATGCTCTCTGTCACCTGGGTAATTGAAATACACCATATTATAAAGGTACATCTAACTAGATCGACTGAAAAGGTATCCATTATTTATTATCTATACATGCATCATTGGCTAGCATGAGTGAGCCATGCAACTTACATATGATTTGCATCTAAAAAAAAAAAAAAGAGGGACCATGTTAGAAGAGCATATGGCTCAGTGTATTTCCTATGGTGATAGACTTGGCATCAATCAGGCACTAGGTGTCAGTCAGTGTCTAGTGAAGCCGCATGTACCGGCTCAGGGAGACACAGAGGACTGATCCCAGGACAAACACACCCAGAGAAAATCTTTGCTGTTTGCTCTGCAGTCAGTTTGGGCTCGGTCCGCATGACGGCTCCCTCTCACTGATAAAGCTCAGCGTGTTGTTTGAGGCTGGAACTGACGGGCTCGCAGAGAACCAGTCACAGTCTGTCGCGAGACTTTGACCAGCCGGGTTCTCCTTGACTTCTGACACTCTCAATTAGATTACAAAGACTGAGCCCATGTGTTCACATGGCTGGAAGTGCTGCTTTTGAAAAGTTATTCATACTACATAATAATAATATAATATACTGATAATAATTCTGATCTCTTCATGAAAGTGATGCACCTGTAATCTGTAGCGCTTGAAGCCGATTACAGATATATTTACCGCATTATTTCTCTGCATCACGCCCTCAGATGTATTTCCATTACTTCACAGCCCCGTGTGTTTACATAGAGAGAGTGTGTGCAGATGCAAGCTGCCACATTTCATTGTTCCACATTTAGCATACTTCCCATTTCATCAGAGGTAATACGCCGGTGTTCTCTTTCATGCCACAACCTATAAACATGAATAAAGACGGACCATTTAGTTTTCAGCTCACACGCTTTCCTATGCGTGCTAAACTAAACTTGACTGAGCTTTAATTGTGGCCACTAAATTGCCGAAGGCTATGTCATATTCTGATAATCCGTCTTAAGCACTTAATGAAAATGGGGAGTAGAAATTAGCACGGCCGCCCAGATCTGCTAATCCTGTTATTAATCAGAGGCAGGGGGACATAGAAAGAGGGAGAGGAAAAATGAGTTTAATTCTTCTTTTTTCTGTCTCCTTTTTTTTTTTTTGCACCTCCAGGATATTATGAACAGTGAGAAGAGTTACGACTCCTTGCCCAACTTCACTGCTGCTGACTGTGAGTTTTTTGTTTCTTTTTACCCATTTTTTTCCTCCACTTCTCTCCCACACTGTTCAAATGACATTACTGGGGTTCTGTAGCTCCTACTCCTGCTTTCTCTGCGTCTCGGGTCTGTCTTTTTTTGTTACATCTTCGCTGCTCTTGTTGTTAACAGGCTGTCAGTGTGTGAGGTGGTAGAACAGTCACAGTGAAAAGATGCAAGCTTTCAGGACGTTTAGGGATTTAAATGAGGGTCATGAGGTCATTGGAGGGGCACTCTACACTTCAAGCTTTTCAATTTTCAGAATCAACTGTTTTATTCTGTGTTTTATATCGTTATAGAATGAATATCTTTGGGTTTTGGACTGTTGGTTGGACAAAACAAACAATTTAAAGACGTCTTCAGCTATTTTCCCTATCAATTGTGAAAATAATTGGCAGATTAATGTACTATTTTTTTCTGTTTTCTAACACAAATTACTATTTACTGCTTTGGTTCAAAGTTTTCTAAATGTTATTTTAGGAAGTGGGGTTATTTTTTTGTGTTGACTATATCAGTGATTTTGATCTGCTTCTGTGTTGCAACACTGGAGGTATAATCTTTCTTAGAAAGCCCACTACTACTACTACTACTACTACTACTACTTTTGTTAAATAACAAACAAATCCCTCACTGGTTTTGATGGTTTATGAGAGAAATGGTTTTCAAAACTCACTGACAGGCATTACTAATAAGCATGAAACATTTCTTTGTATTTCTATAACCAAACCAGAGTACTGGCCAACTGGTTTTTGGATCGGCTAATATAAATCCCATTTCATGGTGAGTCAAAATTGCTTTAAAAAAACAAAACGACACAAAACATCGCTTTTCCGATATGTTACTGATCACTGAGGAGCTGAATTCCTCAGAAATTATTGCAAAATCAGATTAAGATTGCATCAAAGCTGAAAGTCAAGTGTACAGGCAGCTGTAGCATTCTTTGACTTTGCGCTGTCGAGTGAACCGGGCTTTGGCTTTGGCCTGTGAGTGACTGAGTCCTGGCAGTACAGGACCTTCATGCTGTGGAGGCAGAAGGCTGCCTGCAGGCTGCCGTGCTCGCAGGGGCCTCTCTCCTCTAATCTCCCTGGAGGAGCTTTGGAAGTGTGTCATGCAGAAGTGGGTGGATGGAGAGGCGGTGAGAGAGAGTTTTACGTGGGCGGATATTTGTGTGTTGTGTCTGTGTCTCGGTGAAACGGCATGATAGGCGTGTAGGATTCTGCTGCGTTAGGAGGCCGAGATGCAAACATCCCTCACTAGTCCCTGTGTTCATTGGCAGCCGTCCCAGCACATTTGCTCTACAGGCCTGAACATCATGGGCTAGAGGAGGTGACAAGGTGGCATTCGGAGTCCCAAATCTTATACCTTTCTATTGAGTCCATAAAAATGTTGCTATATGGCCCATTTTCATTTTAGAATATATGTGTTTATTTAAATGCTCACTCTTTTCAGAATATCCTGTTTGTATATTAGTGGATGGATTAGTAGTGGTTTCTAGTGTGTAAGTATTTGTGTGGACATACTCCCTCAGCAGAGTTTGGATGAGTCACTTGTGAAGCTCCTTCTTTCTCCGGAGTAACTCTAAAATTCTTAAACTTTGCTTCTTGCTGTAATTGTCTCTCATTTTTTTCTTGTAAAGCCTCAGAGGCTGTAATTGAAAAATGCCAGAGACACTTTTGCAGCTGCACCGCTTCCAGATTTATTTGCCATAATATTAATGTTCAGCGATTACAAGTTCATGGCCACTTACTGAGGAATGATTGAGTTTTACTAACTAATTTCTCACCCCACAGGTCTGCGGCTGCTTGGTATCGGGAGAAACCAGTACATTGACCTGATGAACCAATGCAGGTCTTCCAAAGTAAGACATGTTTATAATATAGCTGGTTTAAATGGTCTTTTATAGAACTCATAGATTTGTTCATGTTAGCACATTTAGTGGCAATACTGAATATTTAATATTTATCCAACTGCATCTCCCCCTGCTTGACTGGCCAGCAACAAACTGCATAGCAATACTCAATATGCAGACACATGAATCAACTATAATAGCCATAAAAGAACCCTGCAAGCTAAAACAAAAAATATTGCATATATTTAAAATGTATTTTTACAACATTGTCTTCAAAATTTATTTGAGCACTTAACAGCCATCTGTATCAGGCTTTAGTGACTATTCTCACCTCACCTGCATCCCCGTCTGTTTCCCCCTTCTCAGAAATTCTTCCGCAGGAAGTCAGCGCGGGACCTGCTACCAGCCAAACCAGTGGAAATCTCTGTGGAGCCGTGGTGGGTGGCGCAGACAGGCTACATCACTGAGGATGACATCAGGGTGAGCTTTGCTTCTTCTTTTCCACTTTGGTGGGAGGAGAGAGGACAACGTGACATCCTTGTGTTGATGTATTTGATTTCTTTAATCTTTCATTTTATGGACATTACATGTGTCATTGATCTACGAGATAAGGGAGAGAATGACACCAGACTGTGGGATTTTTTAGCTTGAGCTTTCATTGAAATTCATACACATTACCCACCAAGCTACAATTGTTCATCCCATGAGCCCCTTCACTGCATGTGGAGAACTCACCTGACTAAAAATAAATACCTGCCAAGTTCCCAACAGTTCTTCTCCCATCCAAAAGAAGAAAAAAAAAATTGAAACACTGGAAAACAGTCTAGGAATCCACATTGTTATAATATGCAAATGTATTCATCCTGCCAGAGACTGCACTACCACTGTTTTGACATCCATGGAGAAAACCCCACATGTACAGCTATGCTTTAATGTTGTGTGTTTGTTGTGTATAATTACAGATCTGTTCTCCAGCAGAGAAGAAAGCCATTGATAAGATGATAGATGCTGGTCCTCAGCTGGCTGGATCAATGGAGTACAATGTGGTGTTAAGTGAGTATCTGCCACATGTTATGTTCTCATGTAAAACAACTGCATACATCAAAGATTTAACACATTATACTGTATTGTATATTATTGTATACACCTTGTTTTCTAATTATCCTAATAAAAAAACATTTACTATTGTAATACTGTGCCTACTGGGAAAGAACAGCCAAAATACATTTTTAATTTATTTACCTCCAGAAATCTGTTAATTGAGGTGGACTGAAACACCACTCCTAAATAAAATACCTTTAACGTCACACTGTTATGGGATTATGTGGATTTCCTCACTGTCTTCCTTTTTCCCGAAGGGATCTGGTCCAGTCTCCTTTTGCATTTTGTCCCACTTTTACATCCAAAACAGGAATTATGGCTGTGTTCTTATGCTTTATGATCCTTGTGCAACAGCATCTTGAAATAGACTATTATTCAATATATTTGCTCTTATAATATTATTATTATTTAAAGTCTGCTGGGTTTATTGGTTTGACTTCTTGAACTAACACCTAAAGCTTTGCTTATAGGAATATAATAGTACATAATATGTGATTTTTATGTAAAATACAAGAAACGTGGAGGTTGATACTAATTGCAGTTTAAGGGCTCTTATCAGCGTCCTGGTGTGAATTTCAGAGATGAAGCATGGGGACTGAGGTTGTGTCCACGCAGTTTAAATGTTAATTAGAAAACAGTTCGACAGTGATGAACCTCTGCCTCTAGAGTGCTGGTGACTGAGTGGGAACAAATACAATTAAATACAGCAGACGCGGGGCAATTTAAATACAAGTAGCTGTTTAAATGAGGTTTGATTGGCTTGAATCTTTTCCACCACTCTCATGCATACATACGTACAATTTTCTGTTCTTCACAGAAGAAATTCAATAACTAGGGAGTTTGTATTGTAAGAGTTGTTTTTCTAAACGTGGTAACAACAATGCTAAGTATTATTATTATGTTTTTGTGCGCCAGGCTTGTACAACCGGGGCTTCATCTACTTGGATGTTCCCATATCTGATGACAGCTGCATCGCAGGTACATCAGCGTGCGTGCGTTTGTGTGTGTGTGTGTGTGTCTGTTGAAACATCCTGCTATTATCCTCCCCTGAGTGATTAAACACTGTATGTACCTAAAGTACAGCTGTGGGAACATAAACGAGCATTATGGGTAATGGACTCGCACTGATCAGAAACAATGCCTAATAGTGTCATTACAGATATATGCAGTATTTAAAAAGAAGGCAGTGAAACAAATTCATTAAATAAAACGATGTAAAAAAATCATTTGTTCCTCTCCCTCTGTCCCTCCCAGTGCCCCCGCTGGAAGGCTTTGTCATGAACCGCGTCCAGGGCGATTACTTTGAAACGCTTCTCTACAAAATCTTTGTGTCCATTGACGAGCAGACGAACGTTGCAGAGGTAGGCTTTAGACATGTGTTTTATTGTGCTCGCCTGCTGTGCTCATTGAATGTAGTATGACCGTGTGTGTGTGTGTGTGTGTGTGTGTGTTTATTGATCAACTTCTCAACCGAGTCCTATTTTCTTTTCCCTCTCTCTCTCTCTCCTGATCCTTCCTCCCCCTGTGCCTCTCAGCTGGCGAACGTGTTGGAGATTGACTTGGACTTAGTGAAGGTGGGTATCCACTTGCTGCAGAATTCAGAGTCCAATTGTAATGTATAAACTAAAGAACTGTTTTTCACAAGAGGAAGGGAAAGAAAATGGTAGATCTGGAGAATGTGGTCCTGCTTTCAAAATTGACACTGACAAAACGGGGAGGTAATTTTCTCTGGCTCCACTGTGATTTTGAAGACATTCTGAGACATGCTTGTTGTCTCTCTGTATGCTTGCAAAACTGCAGTGTAACAGTATAAAGAAATAACAACCTGTTGTGTTTTTTGCTCATTTATGATTTCTAATATTGAGATTTAAGTTTGGCATCAAATCTGAGAGATTAAAACCATTTTTCAGTAATATTTGCTCCCGGCTCCTTTGAGTTGGCCCTCCAAAGGTATGCTGTTATTAAATTTGGGTTCTGGTTTGTTGTTGCTAAACTTATATTATCTCATTTTATTACAGTAGTTCTTTAGCATTGCTGTCTGGTATGCAAATCAGTGAGAGAGGCAAGGATATTATGTAGCCTAGAATGTAGATATTTCTGCACAATTTGGCTGTTTCATTTTGCATTTATATTCACATAGACGTACACCTGAGAGGTAGACTGTGACACACACACACAGACACACCAGACTCTACCAGAGGGCTGAGCAGCGCCATTCTAGTTGAATTGGTGTTCGAGTTTGACCCAGTTTTCCCCAGTTTCCTATTCACTCGCTATCAGACACGGAACCAAACTCCCTCTCAGTGTTATGACCTGCAGCGTGAAGAGCTGAACTCGCCCTGTCCCTCTGTCTCATCTCATTCTCACCGCTGAATAGCAGCACTCATGAGAAGTGGTTGAAGGCAGCGGTTGCAGCGATTCTCCAGGAGAAAACCCTGTAACTTCAGAGACGATTGAAATGTCTGAGAGGTCTCCTTTGTGCAGAACTTTTCCCATCTGACTTGAGTTTAACTTTCTCTTGTGTAATGAGTACCTCATGGTCTGAGACATGTGAAAAAAATATCCTTGCTGTGCTTCTTTTGATATCATAAGAGGGTGACTAAGGGTTGACCTCAGCTTGCACTGGGGCATTAAGGCATAGAAAGCAATCAAGCCCACTATACTTGACTGAGGTGGCCTGTTCAAGATTAAATTGCAAAGCAAGTTGATGACTGTATAAATTAAGGAAATAATGAAAAAGCCAGCCAACTGTTTAGTGGAAAGTACACAGTGTTACCTTTTTATATTCTTTTTTGAGTCAGTTTGAGTCACCAGACATGAAATAATGCCTTTTTTATTGTTGGTCTTGAGAGCAAAAGAGTATTGAGGTAGTTTTTAAGCTCCTTTAGCCTGTCACAAGTCA